CAATTCATCTGCTTTACCTAAGCGAAGGTTTTACTGCCTCTTGCAGACCAGTTCCTCTGTGTTATTACCGTCTCCCAATAAATCCTCCTCTTTTGACTCCTACAGAACCCAAATTCCACCCACAAATCAGCAATGGTCAAGCAAGAGGAATTCAGCGAATTCTTTTCTGCTTCTGCGGTTTCCAAACAACTTTCCCACACATCCCCTATCAAATGTTAGTGGATTTAAAGACGTTTCCCAAATAAGCTACTCTCTTAACCTTCCGTGTGGGCAGCATAGTGCAGACGTTAATTACACAAGCATTGGCCGTTTTTGTGGGTAAATGGGTATAGGGGTTAGTGTGGGGCCAGGCATCCAACTACTTCTCACACACTTCCCATTTGACCCTCACTCTGTTCTGTTCAGAGTGCCGCGCACTTCCAAAGACGCAAAAACAGCGAGAGACCGCCTTACCGGTTAAAAGAAAGGCAAATCTGACACCACGAAGAACAATGAAGAAAACTCATACACTCCAAGGAAACTACCAAAATGAAGAAAAGGACTGCCCACTCTTGGCGTATATTTGCGAGCAATTAGAGCGGTCTGAACACATGCCTCTACCATCGTGGCAGGGATCGAGAGGGTGCTAGGTGGATGAGCTAACTTCTGGTTTTCGGTACACTGCTACCAGCAGTGACACCACTGTCCCATTTCTAAGCACAGATGATGGAATGGGCAACACAATTGGGGGAGACTTCGTCGATTGTGGACGGCTACCCACTTCTTGCAACTACCGCATCCAAGGCAAGAGGTCTCACTTCTTCTCCTTGTTACTCAACAGGTGCAGAGGTCGTACAAAATCGCCATCGAGACCCAATTTATGTAAATATCGTTCTTAATTATACACCCTTAGGATTCGACAGAGGCAACTGAATTAGCCATTTCCTAGACGAAAACACCCCTATATTCTTTTTAGCAAATGCATACTTATCAACAAACCCAACAGATACGTTCGACACAGGCGAAAACTTGCATCTTCTCACAGATACATGAAAGGTAAAAAGATGAATTCGCTAACACTCCATTTTGTTTTTTAGACGCGTTGAGGCAAGGTTAGACGATTGAAGGAGGGTGTTGACTGATGATGCAGTGGCATTGCCATATGGTGTTATTTGGAACTGAAAAGTGTCAAGACAATTACAAATACGAAACTTTCGTAAGTTTCCATGTTAGAATGTTGAAAAAGTTGCCTCCAATCATTGCCTGACGGAACAATGGGATTGAAGATGAAAATAAATAAAGAAAAAGAACAAGAAGAGGAGAAGGGAAATTAGGAATAAATCATCAAGTCTGCAGCGTGTAGGGCGTCTGCCTGTTGGAGGCAAAATAAGGCATCAAATAGGGCACTGCAGATTGTGCCTTCACACCTCTCCCCC